AATAACAAAGTTTTGACACTTTCATAACGATAAGAATTGTAACTAATGTCCCTTTAATAATCATCGCAGACATATGTTTCTAATAATGTAGCTAGGTATTATGCTATAATTGCAAGCTTATCATACAGAACGTTTTTCTACAGGAGTGTGTCTCCCAAATCTGATTAGATTATAATATAGATTGTGAAGAATGTCGTATATTCAGAAGATTATCATTCGTTAACAAATACGCTGCTTTTTTTGTTATGCATCTTTTTTCTTGCATAATTTAGATTGTAGACAGGTTCCCACTTTGTACTAAAAAAACATAATGGAAAATCTTGTATTTTTTGATAAATCAAAACTATATGGTATGTTTTCAGATGTCCTGTTTACTCATAATGTAGAATATAAACACATGATATATGGATTTTATCGTTTTTGAAATCAGAGAAAATATTGTTTGTATCAATATTTTATTATTGTTTATATTCATCATAGTTATATTTTTATTGTTCTGACTATTGTGACTGTTTAACTTATCATTTGACATCTGTCTTGTTTTTTCGCAATTTTAATTTCAACTTCATCGAATATTAAGCTATTTTGAATCAGTTTTACATAATTCCTGACATCTTCTAACCATGTGTTACATATAAAATTGAGAATGGAAATGGGGAATATGTCAAAGAGACAACAACCCGACCAAAGTGCAGACAACAGCCGAAGGTCACCAATAGGTCTTCAATGAAGCGAGAAAATCCCGCACCCGGAGGTGGTCTTCAGCTGGCTCCTAACTAAAATTGTGTGCTAGTTCAGTGAAAATGGACGTCACACTAAACTCCAAAACATATAAATGAACTAAAATTAAAAAACATACTAGACTAACAAAGGCCAGAGGCTCCTGACTTGGGACAGGCGCAAAAATGCGGCGGGGTTAAACATGTTTTGTGTGATCTCAGCCCTCCCCCTATACCTCTAGCCAATTTAGAATAAAGAAACACACAGCAATACGCACAATTACATGTACATGTATTATCTCCATTTCTGTAGACATTAATTTATACTTGTTTGTTTTATATACACCTTGAGGGCGTTAGTCCAAATGGGTGTATCTAAAGTACACCAATATATTATTGTCAATGCAGAATTGTAGTTGTCAATACTTTAAAGGAGGGATCTTTCTGCGATTCGACCAAATATAATTGAAAAGCATGATAAATGCAGGATATCTAATTTCATTTAACAGTATCTTTTTGTACAATGTATATGCAACTACACGTTCAAAGATCCAACTTCTATAGACATTTTGATATATCATTGTACATCCTGTATACGTTATTCAAATGGGTTTCATCAACTGTTTTTCTTTTTACCATTTTACATTCGAAAGAAATAAAAATAACATTAAACTAAAAAGGTAAAACAATGTTTATACCGATCTAGTGGTGTATGGTAAGTTATTATTATAAATTATAAACCTACATTCGGCACAATATGTACGAAACTCCTGGATTCATAACAAGGTATAAATACTCAATAGAAGAATGTCATAATAAATAATAAAAAAGTATGATAAGGACGACACTTGCAATTTCGTACTTCTAATGAAAACAAACAGGAAGCAGTATTATATACTGAGTAGATATCTATTATATATTAATACGGTCTTGTCGAAAAATATTCATATAATAACTATAAAACGAAAATGCTGTAAGACTGCCTATGAGACAACAGTCCACTATAGACTAAAATATGTAGAGGATAAGAACTAACAGTCACCGTATGGCCTTTAACGATGAGCCTTAAAAAAGAAATGTTTTGATCTACCCATGAATAAAAATAGAGAAACAGGCAATGTCATTTATGATTTAACTTCGTTTTTGTCGTTATTTTACGGAAGCGTAAAAGTCCCATACATTTGTTTTCTTATATGTCTCCTTATGTTTGCATTATAATGCAAACCTTTGCGAAATAACACAAGCAATTGCGTATAATGCCAACTAACGCAAACATTTGCGAAATAAGGCAAATCTGTGCGATATAACGCAAACATTATTTGTCCTTTCTATTTTTATGTTAGATTTAAGGGAATAAGCTGTTGTAAATAAAGAAAGGTGCATGTATAAAAATTAACCACCCTGTGTGCTTACTGCAAAGTAAAATGCTGAGTGTTATGCACATATCATGGCATAACAATGAGGAGAAGAATAAACTTATATATATATATATATATATATATAAACTGGTAATTATTGATTGATTGATTTTTCGTTGCTTAATGTCCAGTGAAAAATATTTAATGCATGTTTAGGACAAGAACAAGTTAACAATAAATACAATAGGCAGGTCTTGTATAAGTGGCCAACCAGGATGAAGGTCGGGGAAATTTGGACTGGCACTGTAAAATGAGAGTATTTTGGATAGGGACAGAAATTTTGCCTTGCAACAGGCCACCTACGGACCCCTCAAAGAGTTGTTTCAAGGGTTCGTAACTTACAGATAGCGTTACACTCTCTTTACATGAGGCATCAGATTTACCGTCCCCATTCTGACTGGATGTGACTGCAAATGCGTACATCCCGCACAGCCACAAGGACTTTGTCAAGCTTTTTACTGCCGGTCGAAAGAAGACTACGTGACCATACTTCTATCCCCCAGTCACCCTTTGGGGTCCCTATTAATGTAACCGGAAAAAAAACCACTTCAAAAGTAAGCGCTTGTTTGAGCATTGTGAAAGATTGGTTAGATCTTTACAAGCTACCATATTAAAAAAAAATGTATAATATGAAGATTTCTTATTATCATAATTATGTAGTCTATAATAATTTTCTACGCAAGTATCTTAAATAATCACCTTACCAGATTGAAGTTCAAAATCCCCATATTTGTTTTAATTAAAGAAACTTTATCATATACTGAAATTCGACAAACGATTTCGTATGTCAGCACTATTTTTTCTTCTTCTTCAAAGTAAATCATTTTGAAGCCGAAATATCGTTTTGTCTACTTGACTCGAGAGTTTTGCAATTGTATGAACTTTTTTGTTTACCTACTTTGCCACTTCCCTGTAAATCAAAATTATCGAAAGCGTAGTCTTTCAATTAAAAATTGTTCTATGCCATATCAATTTTCACGTTAAATTTATATAATTTTCTGATACAAAAATATTTCTTAATTTGTGTATAATTGTGATACAAGTATTCCTTTATTCTTATGTATATTTATTATAATGAGTTTGCCTGATTTTTATACTCTCTTTCTTAACTAAATCACAAACAGGCGGACGGACATGCAAATGCAGATATTTACAAAACACCACTTTCAAATTATATAATAAACATAAAATTTAAATTCAATATAAAAGTTTTTAATTATAAAATATTCTAAACTTAATGAATCATTTAAATCAAAACGTGTGCGTAATATAGCAATTGTTTCGTTTAAAATATGTACAAATGTATGTTATTAAAACAAATACTCCTTTTTACAACATAAATTTTCTACAATCGTTTCTTTTGTAAACAATAAGTTTTGTTGTTGAATCATACCAAGATGAGTTGTTATTACATGTTGTACACGCTACATATCTTGACAGCAGTGATGAAAATAAACCATAATACATCGTTATGCACTTAAATGCCGTATCTTACGATTTAATCTTATCATAATTATCCGATCATGGAAGTAGTTTATTGACAATAAACTACTTCCATGATCCAATTAGCAGTACCTAAATCAACAAAAGAATACTGTAAAATATTTAAAAAATAATTCTAAAATTAAAAGAAATATAAAGTTTCTACACGCGGTAAAGAAAATATCGCTTTTTACAAAATTAAGATCAGACATATGATTATAGTTGTTAAATATTTTTGTTATTTGGCGTTATTTTAGTTAACAAATACATCGTTATGCATTAAATAACCTTTGCTAGATAATATTTGATTTGGTGTTTTGATATTGTATTGTTTCAACATGCATATGACAACAGACAATTGTTTAGATAACCCTTTAAAATTTATATAAAGTATATTCATTTCAAACGTCTTAAACTAGATAATTCAAGATTTCGAAAATTAAAATGAAAAACGCAGCTGTAAATCAGATGCAAATTAGATTAGAAATATAACAAATACACATCTTCAATCTTAGATTAGCAATAAAAAGATCGATTTATCAAAAACCTATAACTGCAAGTTGTATTTTAAACCGATACTAGTTGTCTCCCTTTGTTAAATTATTTACAACAAACAAAGAGGGTCGTGTCGGGAGAATTTAAGGCGTGTCGGTGAAAATCTGACAGTTGATCATTATGACCTGGTATAAACGCCCCTCAAAAATATTTATTTGTTTCAAGAAATTTCCCAAAATTAGTCACGGGGCCCAAAAAAACGACCGAAACAAATATTTAAATTACGAAATCCAATAATATAGTTACAAAATTAGCCGATTAACTAATTATATGAAGTTTCATAATAATGTGTTAAATAAGGATATTTCATAATATTATGCAATTTCCTATTTGCCTCGACATGATTCTATTGATACCTTATTGACCGATCAATCTAAATCCTGGTTACTAGTTAGACCTAGTGGTGTGACTAATTGACTATACCAGGCTTAATATTTCGAACGTCATACGCCTGTGTCGTCACAATCAAACTCATCAGTGGTGAAGATACCCATTGGCATTTTGTCATACCTTCTTTAACTTTCCAAAACTTAACCTTGCACTTCTGTAGGTATAGACAACGCAATTTCCCATATGAACTCTCTTTACGGCTAAAACTGTAATACTTTTACTATGAAGTTTCGTAAAATATTACATCCTAAAATGGAAAGTTCAACTGCACTACTATTGTATTCAAAGGTCAAAACATAGGGCTGTGCAGCATATTTTCAACATGTATATGCCGAACTTCTAAGCGTTTAAACTTATACTAACATTCTGTACTACCACTCCCTTTACTTTGATGATTTCTCAGAATTCAATTTCGCCGCTATCCATGTGTATATATATATATATATACTGGTAATATTTCCAAGTTATGTCTCTATGACATGAAGCATAGAGATCATATCTGGGAACAAGTACGTAGCCAAAACAAAGTATTTATGAATATGGTGTATCGCCACAAAAGAGGCGTGGTTTGTAAAACAGCTGTATTTGCAAAGTGCAACGCAAAGATTGGTAAACACACTTATTAACCTTGATTATGAGGATAATTATCACAGGAATGCTCTTTCCTACTGCTTTTTGGTGCTGCAAGGTTGTTTGTCATACTGAAATCTATTTAAAAATTGATAAAACAAAATAAACTTAAATACAGATACGTAGTTTTCATATTGTCATTAACAAAATTAACATTAATATTATTACAATAGCATTTTTATAGCGTCTCGATCCATTTGGATGTAATTATCTTTGTTTTGTTTTGTATTGTATAATTGTATTTATACTAGGTTGATAGTGGGTTTATGTATTGCTAGGAACTATACCCACAGTAATCAGATATTTCGAAAGAATCATATTGCATTGTGCCTTCTGTACATGTATAAGTAAAAGGCATATCCTTCTTTGATATAAATGAGTGCTCTGAAATAGCATTTACTGTTTCAATTTACTACTACACAACAGCGCAATATGTGCTGCTCAATTTTGTTTCCATAAAAGGTTTTAACTATATTGTTTTAATTTGTGATTTCTATTTGCGAAATATGTACAGCTGGGGAGGATGTGCGTATGAGTATTTGCTTTGAACTCATCATAGTTGGTGTCCTTATTTTTCAGGTGTTATAGAACATGCGTTGCTGTCTGCATTACGGTTGGTCTTTTATTAAAATAATATTGATACCCTTCGGTGCATTATACAAGATGAACCTTAAAATATTGATCATCTATAACCTATTGATGTTATCACATGCTGTTCGTGTGCTACACAATCAGAGATAACTTTTTATTATTTTTTAGGACACAGGACGATATGGAGCTTGACATATTTGGCTGACACAAGCACATTTGAAACTGATGAAGGAATGCTTGTATTTAAACTCTATGGAACTTTCATTGTTCCGAGTAATTTTAACAAACTAACAAAACGAGTGCGAAAATATAATTGTCTAGTTGGTTCATTTGTCCACTCTTTTGGTAAGGCGCTTCCATTGAATTTATTGTTTGTGTTTAAATCCCGTTTTTGGGCATTTCGTTGATACTGTCTTATACGTGTTGGTCCATTTGGTCATTTTGTGCTCAGTTGTCTGTTTCTTTCGTTTGTAGTTTGAATTTTGTATTTTCGTAATTAATTGTCAGTATAGTCGAGTTACTTGTGGTTCGTACACAGGGTTTTTGCTTTATCTTGTTTGTTTTCAAGTGTGTTAACTGTTTGGTCTTACATGTTCTTGCCTTATATTACAGTTATTTTATTTTTATTTTCTACATGTATGTAAAAGTTAAGATAAAAAATCAGCTATTACATTCATATGATTTTAAGTTAAGAACAACTATATGCACAGGATTTTTCTGTTTATACACAGTTTTGATTTAGAAGAAAACCCGACATGGTTAAAAAATAAAAATTACAACACCATTTCAAACAAAATTCCATTTTGATATTATTATAATGGTTAGAAATACATATGACAACACCATTACCAACATAATCCCGATTTGATGTTCTTGTACGTCTCTATAAATAAAACTAATCTGTTTTATTTTTTAGGAATGAAACCTGTGAGGATATAAACGTCACAAAACATACGTCACTTTTTTGTGACGTTGATCCATTCATTAGACGCGCAGTTTATATTTCGTTTGTAGTGTCCTGGTGTGCTGTAGTAAATTCATGGGAAGTGTCCGTTGTTCTTTTGCGGTTTACCTGTCTTGATGTACTATTATATTATTTATTTCTGAATTTCTCTGCGCTGAGTATTCTTGTGTTTATTCGTACTGTATTCCTGTCACGTAATGTTGTCATTTTTAGCAGTATTTTTAACATTGCATTACAAGCGGGAGTTTAGCTAGCATTAAACAGGTGCAATCCACAATTTAATTTTTTTAAGTTCTCTGTTTGTATTTGTTGTTTTTCCAATGGGAAAGCACTTTTTGCACCAGCGACAAGTATTAAAATTTTCACAGGGATTTAATAGTAAAAATATTTGTTAATTTATTGATAACTTGAAGCAAGTATATACTTTTTACGAATTTAATTCTCAACAAATTTCAACATTTTCACATCCTTTTCAAAAAAACTGTTTTAAATGGCAGTAGTTGAAATGTATTTTTGTAACCTAAAAGATGAATCAATAGGAATCATGTGAATAATGGATACCTTATGTTCCTTTTACATTTATACTCTATTGATAATAAATAACGAATACAAGATAGGAATATCGACAGAGAGAAAATAGTAAATGTACGGGTATATATAAATTTTTCGCGTAGAAAATATACAATTAAGCATGACTATAAATGAAATTTCACACCAAAAAGAGAAACAGATAGACAGGTTAAAAACAATCTTTCCGATATAGCTGCTGCATGTGGAAAAATTAAGATTATTTATCTTTAAATTTCATTTTCAATTGATTCCCTTTTTTGCATTTGAAAACTCAATGGATGTATTCATTTAATTTACAAATATGCATTTAATCGTGTTTTTTTTTTTTAATATTCAGTATTTTTTTTTTCTAAATTGGGTCCAGCTGAAGCCCTCCTCCGGGTGCGCATTTGCTAGCTGCTTTGAAGATATTATCATTTGGTACTCCATACGCGTTGGTCGTCAACATTAAATTCATCAGTGGTTTAAATAGGCATTGGTATCCTGTCATGTCTTCTTTAACTTTCCAAAACTAAAGATTTGTATACACATCTATTTACCTTGATAACGCCTGTAATCAAGATTTTGGTTAAAAGAGACAACTTTCCTGCTGCCTTTTGGTGCTGCATGGTTATTTTTCATACTGACATCTATTTAAGAATTAAGAAAACAAAATATAGTAATAAAAGATACGTAGTTTTCTTATTGTAATTGAAAAAAGTTTCAAATGTTATTACAATAACACTTTCGTAGCGTCTTGATCCATTTGGATATAAGTATCTTTGTTTTGTTTTGTTTGTATTGTGTATTTCGATTAACTAGGAATTTGGTGCACACTTGTGACAAAATATACTAGTGGTAAAAAGGATAATTCTGAAGCTTTATATTGAATTTTCTCTCTGTACATTTTTAACTGAAGGACAGATCCTTCTTTGATATCAAGAATTGCTCTGAAACAGATTTTACTGTTTATTATGATTTAATCCTGGACAAGAGTGCAGTATGTGCTACTAAAAAAAGTGCGTAATACCATTTGGTTTGTTCTCATCATATTCGATGTATTCACCAGTCCGGTATTTTGGGAAATCTGTAGTTTGTTTTTTTATTTATGATATTATGTGTGGACGCTTATTTTTATGGAGGAGTCGGATGGTGGTGATTTGTAAAGTTTTTATTGCGCTTTCCTATTTTTCTGAAGAAGAATGGTTTTCATATTTTATACAATAAAAAAATTACTTTTAGAGTTTTGTTCAGGACTAAGGGCGATACAGTGCTTCATACTATTGTGCTAGTTCACAGCGTATGCTGTCTTCTAAATGTCCTTTCTGTAAATCATAATTAGTATCGTCAATTCGTAAGGAAAATGTTTAAAGAAAGTACCTAATGTATACAAAAATAACGAATTTCAATGGAATTTCAAACAGTTAGGTCCATCAAAAATGACAAAATGAAGGAAATTTTGTTAAACCTTGTCTGATAGCAAACAAACATACAAATAAAAATAACAAAGATTGATAGTATTTGACAAAGACACAAACAAAGGCGCTTTTGTGGTTGAAAGTACAAACAGTATAAAGTATATAGTATGAACTTTGTCGATCATGTAAAGATTAAGTAAAATATTAAGACAAGGATTAACAAAATTTAACAGCACTGTAAACTCCTCTTATTTCCGAATTGCACCTCTGGAACCACCTGAAACAGGAAACCCGATAGCTGGATGAATAAATACCGAATGACATCAAGCGCCATACAACTACAAAACATAAAGTATATCAAAAGATACATAACTTTAGCACATAAAAACTATAACTAGTTACCATCTTGTATTATTTGTGATGTAGGCACTGAATATATATCTATTTGATTTAGAAAGACGGCTTCATATCCCTATCCACTATGCAGCTACATAGTAATAGAGTTAAAACAGATTTTATCAAATGCAATCTATTTTCTATGTAATCAAAAATATCGTGTTTTGTCTACATGGCGTCAAACAGAAATTGATATACTGCCATGCCTTCTTTTAGTTTCCAAGACTCGACATTTGTATACATAATTATTCATTAACTTTGATGCTTATAATAAGGTTGATGATCTTAGGATTGCTTATTCCTTCTGGCTTGTTGTGCTGTACAGTTATATAATTTATTGAAATATGTTATAGAAAAGGGAAAAAAACGAGTTAACTAAATGGTCTTATCCTCATCAAAGAATGTAACAATTGGTAATAAAATAACATGTATAAGTGCAAGAATTCATATATATTTTGAAAACTTTGTTTTGTGTTGTTTTGATTTGTTTTGTTATGTTTTGTTTTATTTGTATTGTATAGCTAGTTAAATGCTTACTTTTTGTTGGTATAGTATAATTATACATATATTTCAGAAGAAACATACTGATAACCTCTTTAGTTCATTTAAAACTAACGCCCTTATCTTTCTTTCATATAATTACGTGATTGCTCTGAAAAAGCATTTATTGCAGTTTCAACTAAACTTATCATAGATACCAAGCTTACAATTCTGTACGCCAGACGCGCGTTTTATTTACAAAAGACTCATTAGTGATTAGAATAAACATAACTTAAAAAAGCTAAATACAGTACGAAGATGAGAAGCACAGAGAACTCAAAATTACAGTTAGCAATATGAATTGTTCAATTTTATTTCCAAAATAAGGTCAAACTAGAGGTTTTCCTTTTGCGTTTATCATTTACAACAACTGTTTTGCTAGATAAAGGTGATGTCGTGCGTAATAAAATTTGGTTTGACGCCATTATATTTGAGGCTTATTCTCACTGTCTTCTTGTACTGCAAAGTTATATAATATAATAATTGTTCTGAAATATCATTTAATGTTTCATTTATACTCATCAAAGATACCAAACTTAAAATTCTGTACGGCAGACGCCCTTTCTGTAATTACGTGGTACTATCCAATATTACTGTAAATATTGCTTTTTTATATGTTATATATTAAATTAGTATTAATTTCTTTTTTAGGAAATCGGGCGACAAGTAGCGTGACATATATTGTGCTGACACTTATATATTGACATCACTTAAACTCCTTAGGAAATGGTATACCGATGGTTTAATATTTAATTCAGCCGTTTACGTCAACATAGAGATATACCATATTTTTTTCAAAACTAAGCTATTTTTTGAAAAGCTGATTGCGAACACGTCCTGTTTGAATATAGTGTATGCAACAATTGTAATGCTTCTAACATCTAAAAAGGCAATAAATAAAACTTAAAAAATATAATTAATTTGCGCATATGGAGCAAAAAGCCGTAGGGCGCAAACACTCCTCGATGACACCAAATTTTGAATTGATACTCCAGACACATATTTTGTCTGCGTAATATTCAGTAGTGGCGCTCGAATAGAAATAATTGGAAGGAAAATTCAAAGACGAAAATTCCGAAAAGGGGTGTTGATATCTCGAGATGGAACACCCTTAGTATTTGGAATACCTTATCGATTGAAAACAATATATATACAGAACATTAACATATCAATGCAATTTCAAGTTTACACTAAAGTGTTGGCTACTGAGCTGGGGATACATTCAGAGGAAAATATTCACTAGCAATTCCATTCAACTAGTGGTTGTAAAACATGATTTCAAATAACAATTTCACCGTACGCGCGTTTCATCTACATAAGGCTCACCATTAGCGTAAAACAAACAATGATATACTGTAATACTTTCCTCTAGTTTAAAAAATGAAAATATTGCATGCAATATCATTTACCTGGAGTCGTTTGTTCAAGAATAGATCTGTTTGAAGGTGCAGTGATAAGGGCAGTTGGTGCTGCAAAGTTATATATTATATTGAAATATGTTGAAAAATTTTGAAAAAAAAACTATTTTTTTCTATTCTAATCTAAGTGAATAATCCATGACTAAAAGTGAATAAATGTGTGTTACTTTGTTTTGTTTTTATTTGTAATGTGTAATTTAATGTACGCTGCGTTTATAGTGGATATGTGTACGGCATTGAAACTTATAAGTGATCCTAAAACATATATTTATATATCGGAAATTACAGATCTCTCTTGAAAATGCCTAATTTGAGGACATAATAGAATATTAAATATAAACGATTGCCTTGAAATAGTTGTATTGTGTCAATTCAATTTACCTTTACACCAGCCAATAATAATTAGCTGTTTAATTTTTGTGACACAAAAATGTCAAAACTTAAGGGTTTCAAAGAATATCATGCAATTTCAACTATATTCACTAGTAACATTAGTTCTGTCTGTCAGTGTTCTGGTTTCAGTTTCTGTAGGGCTTCTAAACAAATACTGTAACAGACAATATATTTAACTTCATAACCTCGATGTTATGAAAAATTGCAAGTGGGCAATTGAAATTACTACGTTTGCCATAGTCGTCAATATTTGCCGATATATAGGAAAAAGTAAAATCACAAAAATACTGAACTCCGAGGAAAATTCAAAAAGGAAAGTCCCTAATCAAATGAACGGATCTAGATATGAAGCAGATCTTCTTATGTCGGTAGTGTCCTTAAGGTTCGATTGCGTATAAAGGTTCAAGTAGAATAAACATTCGATTGACATGACTCCGCTCTTAGTATTAACTGGTATACCGACTTCCTGTTAGAATCTCTATTCATCAAATTGTTGCGGATACCAAAAGCTAGTTGAAAACTTTTATTTTGTTGTAAAAACAACTTACTAAAAAAATTAGGTTTTAAGTTATGTTTTAACGCTTTCCTTCAAACATCCTTGTATTATAGATTTTGAAAATACTTATTTACTGAAATTCAGATGTCTAAAATTTTGCGGAACATGAATACATAAAGGCAACAGTAGTATACCGCAGTTCAATATTCATAAATCGATTATCCGAAAACTAATCCGGGTCACAGACCAAAACCGAGGGAAACACATCAACTATAAAAGGAAAACAACAAAACAACAGAAACACTGAAATGCTACAAAAACAAACGCAAACATACAAAGAAACGGACTATTTGATAACAACTGCCATATTCCTGACTTGGTACAGGACATTTTAAGAAAAAAACTGTGGGTTGAACCTGGTTTTATGGCTAGCCAAACCTCGCGTTAATTACTGTTAATTGTAAATTAGCATATCGAACAGTGAATGCGTACGTGCACCATGAAACGCTCAACCTATCGACGAAACTGGTGTCGCCTTTTTCTATTTCCTTTACTGTTTGTTAGTTACATTGGTATGTCTTATCTTAAACCATATACGTGATTTGAACTGCGATATACTGCTTTTGCTTTAATTTGTATTTTACCTGCGTTTCGCTTTGAAAGACAAATCTTCCGGCAAGTTAAAGTCAACACAATAATTGTACAAATGCAAGTTACTGATCCAACTGTTGATATGATGATCGAGAGATCTAAAAAATCTACAAATCATCCAATATTTATGTATGTTAGTACAATTGTTTTTTTGTTGTTGTTCTTGGTTTTTTTTAATATAGAGTATCAAAGTAATGTTCGCCATATTTACTAAACTACTAAAACAGATGGAATAATCGCAGAAAAAAAACCTGTAGAGATAAGCTGTAGGACTTCATTGATAAATTTTGAAATACATTAATTTATAATTCATTGGTGTAGACTTGCTTACTTTTTTACCTTTCATTTCTACCTTATGTATATAGATATAAGAAGATGTGGTATGAGTGCCAATAAGACAACTCTCCATCAAAGTCAAAATTTATAAAAGTAAACCATTATAGGTCAAAGTACGGTCTTCAACACGGAGCCTTGGCTCACACCGAACAGCAAGCTATAAAGGCCCCCAAAAATTACTAGTGTAAAACCATTCAAACGGGAAAACCAACGGTCTAATCTATATAAAAAACGAGAAACGAGAAACACTTATGAACCACATCAACAAACGACAACTACTTAACATCAGATTCCTGACTTAGGACAGGTGCAAACAAATGCAGCAGGTTTAAACGTTTTAATGGCACCAAACCTTCACCCCATCTGAAACAATAGTGTAACATCACAACATAGAAAGACACACTATAAAATATCAACTGAAATAGCTTAACTCAATCTAAGGACATATTAACACTATTGAACATACACTGAACAAATAAATTTGACCTATGATACAATGTAAATACAAAATAAATAAACTAAGGGTAGAAGAATAAAAGTAACATGTTATATCGATATGAAATGTTAAACAATTAAAGAAAAACAATATGCACGAAATATCAGCCATTTGCAATAACTTTAAACACAGGTAAATAAAAATAATTTTGTTGTTAGGTATACGTGTATTTTATCAGAATTATCTTTAAACTAATATTCTTACCAGAATCTGATTTTGGAGTAGTTGGCTGCTGAGTCACAGTATTGAAAGGAACAATAGTCTTATGAAGAGGTTGAAATCCTAAGACAATAGAATAGACATGAAATGATCTGAAGCAAATTTTTGGTGTAGTACAATTTTTTATGACATTGGACGCATCAAGTACACTGGAAATATTTGAATTTGAAATTTGAATTAACACATGGTATGTTAAATATGTTATATCATCTGAGTTGTAACCATCTTCATTATTATCTGAATTAGTTCATAGCAATTAAAGTTATATAGTAATTGAATATAACTTAGATATGTAACAGATGTATACAAACAGGAAAAAAGATGAAAATGTTATGTTCATTTCGGTTATAGCGAAATAATGATAGCTAATTACAAAAAACAACTTTAAATTTGCTTTTTTCTAAATGCTGTTACCATCAACCACAGTAGTTAACAAGTACAACTTCTTGAACATTTATTTGTCAATAGTAAACATCTGTACACACTTATAATTAAACATTTCTTTTACAGGCAGAAAGGTGGATCACAAAAATGTTTCAGTAGATTAGTACATTAAAGAAGGACTAAACTTTGCTAAAATATATATATTGATCATCGATTGATGTTTGAAAATATAAAGAGCCTTATATAAACACAAAAATATTTCGTAAAATATAATTGAAATCCTTTTAAAAGTTAAATATGTTACCACACTTATGAACTTGACCTGATACTTTATAAATGGACAACGGAGAGTAAAAAAAAAGGAAAATTGGCAAAAGAAAATTTAGTATTCTCCTTTGATATCAAGGGACTCTGTGTGGTTATGACGTTTCCGACGTTTTTTGTAGGGTTCATGTTGCTCAGTCTTTAGTTTTCTATATTGTGTTTTGTGAACCGTTGTGTATGTGTTTATTATTTTTCATTTTTTAGCAATGATGTTTTCAGTTTATTTTTTTGCAAATGAATTCAAATGTTATATTGGTATCTGTCATCTCTCTTTTATAGCTGCCACAGTGCAATTTTGACATTTGTTCCTCCTGATACTAAAAACAAAAAGGCGTTACTCCCAAACAAATCACTCCTGATACTAAAAAAAAAGGCGTTACCCCCAAACAAACCAATTCAAAAGTATATCAAGCGAACGCAAATGCTCTACAGTTTTATCGCCTAGTATAGTTTAAAGAGAAAACAAGAACTGAAGTCCTGTTTTTATGATTCTTTGAAACGTTTGTTTTGTTTACGTTATTGATTTTATTATTTTTATATACAAATCGAACTTTAAAACATTTATTTTTTGGCACAAATAAAAAAAAGCAGAAGATATAAGTGATGGTCTAAATCGCTTAAAGGGAAACTTCGCAAAAAAATGAAAAATTGATATTATGTCCATTCTGTATAAAAAAGCTCAAATTCATAAATATTAAAGTTTTATTCTGCTAGATAAGAGATCACCATCGATTTTAAATTTAGAGTATCAATTCTCTGCGTGCGGCCATTTTGACATCTTCTCGGTTTAGAAACCACGATATATCTATAAACCACAAAGGACCAAAACCAACAGTAACCTAATGTAGTCGTAATTGCGTGTCGATATCTTGTCAATCGTACGGTTGTTTTATCCGACTAACAAATTTGATACGAAAAATGTAATTATTTTTTAAATGACCATGGTCTGTCGTTTTTAAACTGTTTATATGGGAATTAGTTAAAAAGTCAAAGTTCAAAGTCATAAATAAGTGTTCCGTGTAAAATTGTTTTCGAAAATCTAATATGTTCATAATTTTTTTATGTAATAAACTTATTTGAATAAATTTTGGACCTTCCCTTATCTGACACCAGCATGGCTAAAGGTATTACTCCCAAAGGTATTGTGAGGTGACACGTCCAGGTATTCAAGCGATTTCCTGTCGGGCTTGCAATTTCATGCATCATTTCACTTCTGAGGGTATTGATCAGTGTACACGGCCGATAACTTGTAACTTTCCATTTTGAACTATCAGGTGTATAATATCATCTCTGTCTTGCGTGTCCGATAGTGATATACTAGTCATTACTAAACTCATACGCTTATTTATAAATAACATTTCTGGTGTAAAGAATATTATTTATGAAAATCTAAATAATTCCAAAAAAAGATTTGATAAAATAAAAATCTATTTACATATTTTTTCCAAGGGTAAATTGGGGAAAATGTAAGTATATACTCGTTGTCAATAATGAAGGACATTTTGAAACATACAAGAAATATTGATTTAACAAAAATGTACGCACTTGTCGATTATTGGTTTATACGCCTGGATAGAAAGTTACGGAACTATAGATAGTCGCAATTTAAAATATATACATGTATATTGAATATAAGAAAGAAACATACATTTTGTTTAAATTGGGGTAAAAAATTGTAAATAGTCCACGTATGCGAACAGTATGTAATCATCGGATGTCGATGGAATATTGTATACCAAAAGAAGAAGAAGAATCAATTAGATTGTTCTCGAACAGTTGAAGAAATTCGTCATCATCACAATTGTTGGGTATAATGTATAATAATGTGAACCAGTGGCGGATCCAGAGGGGGGCGTAGAGGGCATACGCCCCCCCTTTGCTTGCACTTTTTTTTTTTTTTTTTGTAAAATGATTAATCAGACTAGACTTCGTGAACTTTGCCATTTCCCGTGTATTTAATTTTTATGTGACAATTCTTTACTTATAAAGATATTTTTCGCTCGTATTTACTGTAATATATTATTTATTGATTATGTCAAAGTCATGTGATTCTCTACGGTGGAGTTGACCAGTTCGTCGAAAAAAACGTCAATTAGTCATTTTGAAATTCAAATTACAGTAACACATTGCTTAGGCTGGGGATGACAAGCATGACGCCTTCAAAGCGACAAAGTATTGAGCAAGAACGTATTGACTTCTATTTCACAATTCCATCCAACAGAAAGTAATACTCTATTACACTCTCATGAGAAAAAAAAGTTGCACAGAAATATTATTTACCTACGAAAACATGTTTAACTCACACGCCCCAGCCCATTAATAACATTGCTGAATAGTGATCCCCAGTCAGTAAGCTCTAGATATAGATTTAAAGATCTGAGGGGGCAATCTGAGATATTTTAGAGAAAAATTCTGACCCTGATTTTTGCCTTAAACAAAAATTCTGGCCGTATCTGGATTGAAAACAATTTTTTTTTTTTTGGGGGGGGTTGCATGTGAATCCCATATCTGACCGGAATGTCTGTTTCGCCGAACTGATATACTGAATACATTTTTCAAGGCCCGACTGCAACCTGCCTGCTGGGTGTGGCCTATATGTCTCCATGTGTCGTCCGTCATTCACAACTTCATTGTCATTTCCGACTAATTCGTAGCCTTTGGTTGATTTGGAACCCCTCACTTCCCTTGTTGGGTAAAACATTTCAACCAAACATTTGGATGAAGATTGCTTGTTTGTCCTTCTTCGTGTCGGTCGTATTGTAAATGTCATTGAATAGCCGTATATCTTGTTTACAACAAGAAATCTGTGAGGTTATGCTAACTAACCATACAATAAACGAGAATTTTCCATGTCCATATTTTACTGACAAATCCCACATCAAATATATTAATTAGTACATAGCTTTGGATCCATCCAATCATTTCATAATAGACAATTGATGGAGAGAATACGACACCAAAAATGTCCAACCCCTACACTTTAACTATAAAATGCATTTTACACTTATTTTATGTTTTTTAGCCAAAAAAAGGTCCAAAAAAATTTTCGCCTCGCTCCGCTCGGCCAACTTTAATACTACGCCCCCCCTTTTCAAAATCCTGGATCCGCCCCTGTGAACATGGTTCTGAAAGTACAATATGCCAAATTTCCTTATCCGACATGCATGTAATACATATGCCACTGGACGTGCACTAATGATCCCCAAAAAGTCTATTTGAAGAAATCAAGAAACTTCACTTCGGATAGACTGATAGTAGTTGTACAAAAATGTATTAACGAATATCGTATTAACGTCTGATCAGCTAGAGGGTTGATTAATTTATTACGTTAGATTGTTGGTGAATAAGCCATTCCCAATATTGCACTTATGCATAAAATATTAAATAAGAGTAACATGAGAAAAAATATAAATACGAAAAGTCGCATATCTGGTAAAAAAAAGTCTCACTATCTATAGGATTTCACGTACAATTGTCATTCTTAATAGAAATAACGGACAGTTATTATAATACATGAATGACGGTAGGCTTTGATAAAAAGTAGTGCCGCATATTATTCATCATCAATCTATTTTTTTCAAGTTTATACTTTCCTGTTATTCTTATCAGTTAACGCAGAGACATGTCACTATGCATCTCTAGTTAACAACATCAACTATATAAATATCTGAATCTGATGTGACCTACCGTTCATCTCTTGCTTTTTTTTTTCCTCTTTTTTTTTTTATTTGGGCATGCAGGAACATTAACATTGTTAGATATACTTATGGTTCCCAGGTTGTTGTTTTTTTTTTGGGGGGGAGGAGGGGGGGGGGGGGGGGGGGTTGGAGGTGGCGTGTTGGAGGTCAAGTCTATCGAAAGTTACAAAATAAGAGCGTTTTATTTATAAGAATTTACAAGACGAATTATGTTCTTTGACGTAGGTTTTTTTTTAGTTCAGTGATTTAAATTTAGAAAATATCTAGTCAGAATTTAAATCGTTCCGGCAATCCACCATGTAAGACTCCTCTAAAATCGTGAATTGTCATGCTTCACAATCATCAGAATTTTCTTTGCATTGGTACATTCTGTATCGGTAGTGATTAACCATGACATTTCCGGATATAACAGAGCTACTTGTATATTACCTGCATGTGGTTAGGTGTCGTCCTATGAGGTCTTACGTATACAGTTTCACATTTATAGTGGTTTCTGATATAACAAGGTTTTATGACATTAATTCACACTTCTGCATGTTCAGTATACCACATTTTTATCTTATTTTCAGACCGAAAGGGGGATGTGAATATTTTTCAGGAAAAATATTCAGTATCAAAGTATCAAATTAATTTCGGGATTTTTTTTCTTTCTTGGTATTAAATAACAGAAATTTAAAGAATCAACTGCTTGTCCGCTTTAGGGGTATTCTTGCCAGTTAAAACAGACTAATAATTATATGTGTATATATGTCTCTGGTATAGACATGGTTTATGAATGAATTATAAGTCTTGCAAAGGTACAAGATATAAAGCACATTGAAAATTTATTCCGCCGGTCTGTCTCCATTCAAAAATAGGGAAAGTTGACATTAAATTGGTTCGGTCTTTTTTTTTAAACATCGTTGGTCAAATAGCTAAAGTATTATACGTTGTGAGACTTAGAATATTTTAATAAGGACATTCCCGATTATGTATATTTTTTTTTTTATGTTTTTCACACCTGAAAAGAATATTTGTTCGTAATTATTCGATTCCATTCCAAGAAGGACCTTAAATTTCCTGTCAAATTTTTAAACATCTTTTTTTCAAATAGCTGAAGTATTTATGAGTTGTGAGATTTAAAATATTTTGATGAGAACATTAATTCCTGAATATGTAAATAAAGATCGCTTTGGATGGACCAAATTATATAATTGCAATTGGTAATGATCTATTTCAAATATTCAAGGTTACCGATTCTAATTTGAAATAGTACAATTTTTAGTTCATACACTCGTGTTTAGAAGGCTATTATTATTTATAAATTTATTCAATTAAATTAATTCAGTATTTCATGGTTACAAAAATAGTCAGCGGTCATAATTCATTTAAAACTGAGCTTACGCAAAATATAAAAATATACAACGGCTATCCAGTTATTGTGCCACCTTATTACTCCCCTAAATTAATTTTAATTCTTTTTTATATTTTCTGTGTCTAAAACTATCACTCCCGTTTATCATTCATACGAAATGTTGTTCACACCTGGAACGGTGAACCGTGACGGCTAAAATTCACTGAGTGAAGATCAAAAGATTAGAATTCCAGAATGCTAATCTTTTAATTACCTTGAGTTTAACCACGCATTCAACATTCACTAAGTGTCACAGAACAATACACATAGTATTTACACAGTACAAGCAGGAAATGTTTGCTATACTGAAGCAAAAAGGTCAGAATACAAACATGTATTTTTAATACACTATCAATCATGTCAGTTTCATATGTTTGTTTATTAAGGAATTTGTCGGAAAAAAAATCATAAAAATTTTCTATTGTATGATTTACTTTTATTACTAAAATTCGTATCAAAAATCCTTAAAACATAAATCCTACAATTTAATTTTAAAAGTTGCACGGCTATCACTTTAATTTCTTTATTTTAAGTTGGTTAATAGCTACACCAAAAGTCGTCGATGCGCTTTAAATCGCGTTATTAGATGGTAAACGAACAAGACTTAAATGAGATTAATTCAACTCCCGGCATGCAAAAAGACTTAAACTACGTCACAGAAGTCAGGAAGTTCGAATAGATAAAATTAATAATTCCCAATTTTCTCCTTTATTAGTTTTCATATCCAAATAAAACTTGGTGAATATGTTTTTTATGGTATTATGAACATAATAAGATGATAAGTGAAAAATCGCGAATTTTCCCTTTAAGATAGGTAGGGCATCAAAATGATGGTGTTAAGCAGCAAAAAAAAAAATGCATTACAGCCGATTTCAATGAGTGTGTAGCCAAAGGTAATATCTTCGGTTAGCTTGCTTGCTAGCTGAACCGTGAAGTCATTGTTAGGTTATGTAAACTATCCTCTTTTAAGAGTAGTCTAGTCCGACAGATAACCAATATATCTGTATGTAGGACTAAGCTACTTCGAAAGGAGGGTAGTATACCTTACCTAACAATGAATTCACGGTTCAGCTAGCAAGCAAGCTAACCAAAGTTATTACCTTTAGCTACACACTCATTGAAATCGGCTGTAATCAGGAAATAAACTGATCATAGATACCAGAATTTAAATTTTGTACGCCAGACAAACGTTTTGTCTACAAAAGACTCATCAGTTACGCTCGAAATAAAAGCCAAAATGGCCCATCTACGTACGAAGTTGAAGAGCGTTGAGGACCCAAAAATTCCTAAAAGTTGAACCAAATACAGCTAAGGTAATCTAATCCTGTGCTAGAAAATCCTAAATATTTTAAAAATTTAACGTGTTGTAAACAGTTAATGTATAACTATCACCATATCAATTATAATTCACGTCAACACAGAAATGCTGACTACTGGACTAGAAACGTTTGCTTGTTTTTAGTAATGCGATAATTGAACAATGGATTAAACTGTGAGATACATTTTAGTTTTACATAGATAAAAAGGCTGATTACAAATAATGTTATAATAATAGAGAATGCAAGTTTTTATATCTTACTCCGCCGCAATTATTCGCAATACTAAACAATTACAACAAGAATTAAATTGTCGTTTGTCACATATTTCCTTTTGAATTTAACTAGAAATGTTATAAGTTAAGAAAAATATAATTATAGTTATACGATAGCATTTTTGTTTTGTAAATTTCTTAAGATATAAAAGTCGATGATAATCACAAATGGCGAAGAAAAAATGTCGACAGAAATGTATCAAAGGAAATATTTGCTTATTTCATAAAAGACAGCAAATTGTGTTTTCTTCATACAAAATAAAAATATATCAACTTTATCTTTTTTTGTTCTTTTTAACGTTTTGGATAATTTGATGTGGTTGACATTATTTGAAATCGAATCGAATAAAAACTTAACATATTGTATAGGGTCCTGTCTATTGATGCAAACCTTTGTTAAACTGTTACTTCATTTTTTTGTAATGTTAGGTTGTTGTTTCATTTAGATATACTCTACATTTCCCACATAAAGGGGTAAACTATATCAAATTTATATTCACCGATTTGATTCAAATTCTAATATTTGATTTATATTATGATTAAATGTATATTTTAGTTACAAAAAGTCCAAAAGAAACAATAAACAATACGTTGGACTCGTTATAATGTATCAACATTTCGTGCGTATTGTACTCTAGACACCATTTTACTTTCCATCGAGGTGACCTCCGGGGACTGCCGGAGGTCATATTACTTTAACAAAACATAAGTATAGACGTTAAAAAAAAACAAGAGAAGCAAGTGCCATCGTTTAATGACGATTTTTCTAGGTCTGCTTAGTCTCATGTTTTGATTAAAAACGTGTGTGTATGATAGTTTTGCCTGTATAAGAATGATTTATGGAGGTCGGAATCATTTAATGATATTTTTTTGTCTTGTTTAATGGGATGTTTCAAACTTAAAACTACATAAATATTAAAGTCTGACTGCGATTTGATTCACTTAATAATCAAACCATGGTTTTGATCGTCCAAATTGAATTAAGCAAATTGTTTTGTGTAAGACACTTCATTAGCAAGTTCACAAGTTTTTTATTATCATATTAGTTGGAATCGAAGGAACCTATAGCAAGCAAACGTAAATTTCATTTTTATAACTCAATAGATATCCTTGTTGTCAATTAAGGTGATGTGGTTTGATTGCCACTGAGACAAATCCCATCAGAGTTCGATTGACGTAAGCAATTATAGTTAACCGTACGGCATTCATAAATAATAGCAATCCATACCGTATAGTCCGATATAAAATACCTCAACATGACAAAATGTGAAACAATTGAAACATTTTATTATATGTACTCTTGTTTCTTTGATACTTTTTGTAATAAAAGTGTTGCTGATACAGTTAATTTCTTCTCCGTACATTTTAACATTTTGCAGAGGTAAGATTTTTTTTGATATTGTTGGTTTAAAAACAAATATCAATACTCACCATCACTGCCGTCCCATTTGACTGTTACATATGCCAAAAAATATACTCCCTCTGTTACCAGTCTAGTTCCACAACTATAAGAATGGTTCTTCGTATCTTTTATTACTGCAACATTCCATGTAAATGATTTGCATCTTTCAGAACATGTACACACATTTGAAGAGCATATCCCATCTGTATGATAACACGTGTTGTTGGCATATCGAATATCAACATGTGATCTATTTTCTATTAAAAACTCTGCGGTACACTGCCAAACGGCGACGTTGGTTGAGCAAATAAATTGAAACACCGTTAAAGTGTCGTTCGTAAAAGACTTTCCGTTGAGCGATATATCAAGTGATAAACCTAAAAAAGATGTTTGAAAAGCTATTTGTATTATCCTTCGAAATCTCTTTATAATTTCATAGTTATAATTATAATAAATAAATTACAAGAACAAGTTTTTATTATTTTTATCTTATTTTTTTTAAGATATGTTGCTAGACTTATTCTTATTTTATAAAACATAATCCTGGTGTCATTTATGCATCTTAAGAACTTATGGGTCGATGCAACTGCTGGTGAATGTTTTACACCCGGGATAGCACAAGTCCGTATGTCAACACTGGTGTACTTACATGATGTCATGTTGTAAGTTTGTTTTTCATAAAACTTTAAATTAAACAATTCACGCAAAAAAACGAAAACACAGAAGTAAACGATTAACGTTAACGATGTAGCTTCAAATATATTGCATGTTATAGTAAAACTAATATAATGTTACAGTTTTCTTTTTTTTCACACATAACCATTTCTACCACTTTTCGAAAACAGAGTACATTTCGAAATGAAATATAGGATCAGCTGGTTGTTAAAAAAAAAAAACATCAAAAGTGTTTGAAATTGAAGAAGTTGGAATTGCCACTGCTTCAACAATAGCCCCAAGTATAATTGGGATACAGGGTGTAAATAAATATATTTCCTAGAAATATTTTATAAAGTTTCCATTCCGTTACACTTGTCTTATTGTCAAATGGGTTATTCCGGTAAATCTTTCTGAATATTCATTTGTGGTTTGATCAGCTCTTCATTGTTTGTATAAATTTTGGTTTTTTAAATATGTTCTATGTCCTTTTTGGTATCTTTTGCCTCTCCTTTGTATATGTTTTGTTTTTTCAAATGTGTTTGCCTCGAGCATCATTGAAGAAACATATATTGTCAATATACGCATGAGGTGCAGTCAAATTTGTTACTTTATGTTGTTACTACTCCTGGGTCAATAGCTCTGCTGATGGACTTCAGTTCCTGAAGACAAAAAACAACCCAGTTGCCAGTAAGTTGGTGCTGGCATAAAAATACAGATTATTTTTTAATGAAATTTACATTAAAAATAGTTTGCTAATCAGTTCAAATTAAGAGATATATCTCCCTTCTGCAAAGCTTTGTATCTTTGTCCAGATTTGACTATTCTTTAGGACCTTTTTATCTGATCAGCTCTTCAATGTTTGTATAATCATAACAATGAGATTGGTGTGATTGCTAATGAGACAGCTCTCCACAAGAGACACAATGACACAGATAACGTAAGTGTTGTTTTTTTCAAATATTTTGGTCTCGAGTTTCACTTAAGAATCATATATTGTCGGAGTGAGTATCTGGTATTGTGAAATTGGTACCGTTTATGTTATTATTCAATATTTTGTCCATTGCCTAGTTCCTTCGCCTAGACAACTGAATTTCCTACGTTTGGAACACTTCAATCTTTTGTTCCCATATTTCCTTTAAATACCTTATATAATCTTAACATATTACATGGACAATTTTACATGTCAGACTATTTACACGAAAATTAGTTAACACTTTTTATATACGTTTATAAGTTTTACACCATGACATGTTCTACGTATAATACTTTTTGGGGACGTTATAGCTCAATAGAAATAGCTATAAAGATAGTTCAGAAATGGTTAATCTAAATATCATTTCCATTGCTGTTTGTTTTGATTTAACACAAGATATAAACCTAACCAAGTCTTCAAGCGGACTATACGGTATGGGTTTTTCTCATTGTTGAAGGGCGAACGGTTGCCAATAATTACTTACATCCACTTCATTAGAACTTTGGTGGATAGTTGTTTCATTGTCAATCGTACCACATCTCCTTATATTTATATTAACTATATCCGTGATATCTGCAAGTGTAAATTGAAAGGTATAAAGGGTAACAGCATTGTTGTCTTACTTTATTCAGTTAATCAAATAAATTAAGTTTTAAACTGGAAACAGTTGTTTACCAAAGTAATTCCGAAATTTAAAAAAAAAGTCTTTATTAACGTAATTGCATGTTGTTTTTTTTTGTGTGTTTGGAAGTTTTATTTTAGTTTTAGTCATCTACATAACTTTCTTTACCTCTGTTAACTTAAAATGTTTATTACCATCAAATATGACCAACTGTAATTGCAACTGGTATTATTTTGAAAGTGTTAGTGTAATATGTGTAATTCAAGATCACCGTTACTAACATAATCATCTTGGCATGAATCGTCTTCAAATAACTTTCCACTTCACATACATCTGGATGTGTGCAGCAATTGAAACAATTTCCCAAATGTAAAAAACACATTGCCATGGTCAACTGCCACGCCATTTTTGTATAGAAAAATAGGATATAATGTATTGTTCATATTTTTGTCAGCTGAATATAACTATTTCAAAACCTTTTGAGTGTGTTGTTCTACGATGTCTTAACCTTATACTTCAATAAAACCCGTTAAACTGTTATATTCTTTTAGCTTTGGAAATTGACTTCACAGAAAATACGAAATTTTTACTATCTTAAACTAGAATGCTGAAAATGTCACACGAGGACAATAAGTATTTGCATTGCTGTTCTATTTGGAAAATGCGTCATAATAAATTATTATGGTGTATTTCACTTGTTCACTCGTTTTGACTAATAAAGTAGAAAGGGATCAAAGTCATCACATTTTTTTTTATTGTTTCACCTTGCATAACAATCTGTGTAAATGGGAATACTATCTTCAACGTGAAACTATTGATATAGGATAAATGAGTTTATTGCCTTGTATGTGCTCTCCTTAAGAAAGACTTGATTATGCTTTAACATACTATTATAACCATAAGGAAGAAAAGGCATGGATGTTATGTGTTACTGTTTTCTAATTGTTCACGACCAATGGAAATATCAACAAAATACAAGAAAAAATACGGGTAGACGATAGGTAAATTTTAGTGGAACACATTTAATAAACATCGTCACTGAGTATGAAGTAGTTAAACTACTGAAAAGGGTTAATTTGAAAAATTTGAGTTATCTTCTTTAAGTTTAATAGTACAGGTTTATTTCTTTTTTCTTTCCTCAGACACAGCCTTTTTCTTTTCTGTGTGTAGTGGATGTGGTGTTGTCTCTTTAATTAATCATTTGATACTAAACTTTTTTTATCAAAAATAATAATTTGCATTAAATTGATAGTGAAAAAATACAACTGTAGTTTGTTAATTAAGTGTAGTTTCTTTTTGTTCTACTATTTTGGATCGTATTTCCTTTCCATTTCAAAAAAAGAGGCAAAAAATACCAAAGGGACATTCTCGAAAATAAACTGACAACGCCATGGCTAAAACGAAAAAGACAATCAGACAAACAAAACACAATAACAAACCCCACCAAAAACTGAGGGGTCATCTCAGGTGCTCTGGTAGGGTAAGCAGATCCTGCTCCACATGTGGCACCTGTCGTGTTGCTCATGTGAGTACAAACCATGAGATAAGTCTAATATTTCCGTACTCCATATGCTCCTTACAATAATATTATTATATTTACCTGTGTGCGTTATTTTATTTAACACCATTTTGTCCAAGGTTACAGTTATCTTTCTGATATTGTTTTACATCTCCCCTCCCCTTTTGTTATTAAAACTGTATTTATATTGTGTCATAGATCAAATTTATTCGTTCAGTGTATGTTTACTTGTTTTTGTTAGTATGTCTTTTTGATAGAGTTAAGTCATTTCAATTGATATTTTATAGTCACTGTGTGTCTTTTTATGTTGTAATGTTATATTACTGCCTCAGGTTAGGGTGAAGGTTGGCACCTGTTTAAACGTTTAAACCCACTGCATTTGTTTGCACCTGTCAGGAATCTGTTGGTCAGTGGTTGCCGTTTGTTGATGTGGTTCATAAATGTTTCTCGTTTCTCATTTTTTTATATAGATTAGACCGTTTGTTTCCCTGTTTGAATTGTTCTACACTAGTCATTTTGGAGCTATTTATAGCTTTCTGTTCGGTGTGAGCCAAAACTCCGTGTTGAAGGTCGTACTTTGACCTATATTGTTCACTTTTTACACATATGACTTGAATGGAGAGTTGGTTCATTGACACTCATACCACATCATCTTATTTCTACTTATTCAGTAGGTCACATTAGGGGGAAATGGGAAGGGACATAAGGAACATATTAGCTATCCTCTGTGAAACGGAAATTCCATAACGGTCAACCAACTCGTGATGGCGTCCATAAAATTTATTAAGTGCTGATTTCAACTTCACAAATTGGAACTCTTGGTTTAATAGCTTCCTTGTGAGCAGTAACCCTCTATCAATGAAATCCTGATAAGAAAATCAAGCCCTGGAATATCGTATCAACTGGGAGAAAGATTCTCCGTAGGCAGGCGCTGCTGGAATATTGCTAAATAGAAATGAACAGTTTACAAACCAGATTTAATCCACCATTTCTACATAAGAAAATGCCTGTATCAAGTCAGGAATATGACAGTTGTTATCCATTCGTTTGATGTGTTTTAGCTTTTGATTTTGCCATTTGCTTATATAGAATTCTCCCTGGAGTTCGGTATTTTTGTTATTTTACTTTTTATAAATGGGAAGCTGAAATCATCTCTTTTGTCAAAGTTTTGTTTTCAACCGACCGTCATTGTCAATTTCTAGATGTTAGTCAAGATATGAGACAGACTTAACTGTATATGTTGTATCCTTTATCTCAAGTTCGATGGGAAAGATGCGATCAACATAGTCACCAAATTTTGAATTATTTAATGAGAGAACATCATCTTTATCATGTTTATAGCGGAAATTAAAGTTAAAGGATACTGCTTATTTCTTGTCTTTCTTCCCAAGAAAGTTCCGTATGAAGTCAGCCTCGTATGAATAAAGGAACAAGTTGACAAGAAGAATGGCACAGTTGCTTCCCATGGAAATGCCGATTGTTTGTTGAAAAACACGTTAAAATTATAAATCGGGTATATTCTACCAGTCTAGTAGTCAGCAAATTTGTGTTGTGACATTGAATATCATTAATTTGTTCAATTTCGTAAATTCACTGTATATAAAATCATTTAAAGTGCTCAAAACACTACTTCATTTACTACACTTCGACAGCAGAAAGAGGCAAGCATAGTACGATTGACTTTGATGACGGGTTTGACATCGACGACCATGACCTACTTACCACTCCACCACATACATCGCCCTTGAACCTAAAATCTAAAGAGACTATAGAAGCTGCCATACTATCAGAACAACCAAACATTCCGTATCAACAACAATACCGCAGTCGGAGCAAAAAGGAAGCGAACAGACAAGCAAAGCCAACTTTGTAACACTATGTTCGATAG